AAAAAAATTAAATAGCATTTACTAGCATATTACGTAATAAAACATCACAAAACAATAACAATTCACATTAAAAGAGACCTGTCAATATGTTCAATCCCGAATATAATAACAATCAAAATTTCCACTATCTTCTTTCCTTTCGCCGCTTTCTAGACGAATCCCTGAAACAGCAAATGCGAGATTTACCTGAGGAAGATATTTCAAACAAATGCACGAACCTATCGCTACCACTAGAGTCACTAGATCGCCGCCGTCTTCGTCGTTCACGATCTTTACTTCGATCTCGTGAACGGCTGGAAGCATGAAAGTTCATTGTCTGTTCATTACACTTATCACTCTGTTTACCTGCGGGACTTCTTGTGTTTATGCTTCTTTGACTTCTCCTTCTTTCGCTTCTTACGCATATCATCCCGATCTTTTTGGGCTTCATCATCGCTCAGGCGAGGAGGCAACTTTGGTTTTTCTTTTTCTTCTGTTTTCTTTGATTGTGTTCCTGTGCCGAGAAGAGCTCCAATGCGACTGCAAATTGGAACTGAACCCTCGAATAACAATAACAAAAAGAAACAAACGGTTCGACATCAATTAGAAAAAAAATAGAAGTTAGTGACAAATTTTTGGCTTCCTCGTCTATTGCAGCAGCCTCTTATGAGGTAGACCACACTTACATTAAAGAACAAAAGATACCAAAAAAAGGCGATTCATAATTAGATATATGACACAAAACACCATTCAACGCTTTTGCAATCTCTCTTCTGCATTCCAATCAACCGCTAAGTTAGGTGTTTTCTGAGTGATAGAGTCGTGAAAATGATCAAATCCAATAAAACATTGAACTTACCGATTGATAAGCTTGTCTACCATTTCGAGAGAAGTTTTCTTCCGTTTGGTTTCTTCTTCAGCTAATTGCTGCAAGAAGCCTTTCCTTGAAGTTGCAAAACATTTAAAAACCAGATGTAACACACCCGTTCTATCTCAGCTTTCTGAGCCTCCAATTCCCTGATTCGTGCTTCTTCTTGCTCCTTCAGCTTCTTCACGCGCTTTTCATTCAAAAGACGTTCCATAAATATACGTGCCTTGAAATAACGATAACATATAAAAAAGCATTCTCGACTCTGAGATAGAGATCAAGAAGATCAAGTTCAGAAAGTAATTACCTTTTCCTTTCTATCTAGTTGAGTATTGCTAGGAATGTTGGGAGGAACTGGAGGAGGTAGGATCTAAATCAGACATAGATCAAATAGAAAAGTTATCAAATTATAGACACAAATAGCATACAAGTCCAACATTTGAGGTGGTTGGTTGTTGAGGAGGAATAGAGAGTGGAGAAAGCGTGCGAGGATCAACTAGAGCTGGGCTACCAGATTCCTCGATCACAGCCAAGCTAAATAATTATGACAATATGTACAGGCTTTACAACTCTATTAGTATTACCTTGGTGCTGCTCCCGGAATCTCATCTTTGGCTGTTACAACCGGTGCCAACGAAAATGAGACAGGAAAAGGTTTTTGTGCTATCGTAAAGGCACTGCTGGAAGCGCTAGCGGTTTCATCCGCAGCTGCTCCCTCGATATGAAGGCAAGGTTGGGATACAGACGTCAACATGGCTGGGGAGGAACTCACTTTAGGTATCTGAACGTGATTTCTTTAACAAAAGAACTCAAAACAAGGCTTGAGGAGTTTCGGGACACGTCATTTGAAAAAAAAGTGTAAGTAGGAGAAAAGCTTGCTCTAAAACTTTCCTCTGCCTCTAAAAAACATCTATGAATCAGAGACAATGTACATAAGAAAGAGTGGATCAGTCGACAAGAATTTAGGTGAAAGTAAGTCTTTCTCCTCTTGAAAAGAAATGCCACTACTTACACTACTCGCTTCCGTCAAAGAAACAGCAGCAACTGGGTCCACAATACCAACGGGCTGAGCCACGGGTACGCGAAATGCGTCTTGTAATCGTCTTCGCTGCTTCCTATTTAATGCCTGTGCTCTAGACTCGGCAATACCTTCAAATAAAATTTTCTGAGCCCGTTCTTTCGTATAAAATTGATATAGATTGATGATCTCTCACTGAGAGCGTCCAGGGCAGGAGCAGGAACATCAGCAGCACCTTCTGAAGCAGAGGCTCTCCCACCTTCAGCACCAACTTCTCCTTCACCTCCATCGGCCTGCAAAAAAGCTCCTATTCCTAATGCACTCGGTTTTTTCACACGTTTGCTTTACAGCTAAACAAGCTTTCGACAAATGATGGTCAACTATATAAGGTACTTACTTGTAACCAAACAGAAAAAAATGACAAGCTAAATACCTTTCCTTTAGGCATTAAACAAAAAACATTTATGATTTGATACCTGTTCCAGTGCTGGAGATTCTTCCATCGCCTTTTGTGAAAGTTCCCACTGACACAAGCGCACAAGATGCTGATAATAAGAAAAATGGTGACTGTTGGGATGCATGAAATGCAGCTGAAGATCGACACGATCTGAAATAGTTGAGTCATATTGAGACTACGTTTGCCCATATTCTTTTCTACGAAAACAGGGGTTTGAAGTCCTCACGTACTGGGCTCCATTTGAAAAACAATCAAAACTTCTCATCCTAACCTCTCAGCTCCAACTCTGCATCAGCACCATGACGAGCCACAAATTCCGCATAGCTAGCGATTACCGGCTGGAGATCAGGTGGTGGTGGTACCATTGGCTGCGGGCTTGAGTATGGACATGTTGTGCCATAGAAAGACAACCACCAAGCACGATACTCCTCATCAGGAGGGGGTGGAGCAGAGCTTGAAAGTTTTGGTTCAAAACGTAAACTCGTAAATTTTGGACAAATGAAAACCTACGCGATTATGTGTTGCTTAATCTCCTGCTGCTCTTTCTTCCGTTTTTCGGCTTCCTCTCGTTCACAAGATACTTTTTTCAAACTCTTGAATAGAGATGCATATATGTCGTTACTCTGAAAATAAAAGGTGAGATGGAAGATCAGAATGTTCAAGCGATATGTGGTAAAATAGCATTTAACTTATTTTAAAATGCAGTAAATCTGTGAGAGCAGTAGCCACGAAACCCACTTTGCTCATATCATAGTCAATGCGATGAGCAGTCACTGGTGGTGGTGATGGGGATGCAGGACGTCGCCTTGGTCCAGCTGCGTTATGCGCAGTATCGATGACATCGGGGCTACGACTGCGTTTACGACTGCCCGACAAAAGAGATGGATGAAGCTCATAGTCAGAGTCAGAATCGCTGTCACCTTCTGCAAATTATTCAAATAGGTAAAGTATCTAGAGATTTTATTCAACCAAAATGAGTTTAGCAGTAATGGAAAACATCTTACCTTCAGCAAGCGCAGTGAGTGCATTTGACTTCTTTCCAACATTAGTTTCAGTAGTGGAAGGTTCCGAGGTCTTTTCTTTACTACAGGCGTCCTTTGTACGTTTGGAGAGATCAGGAGTGTATTTCTTTTCACGGATAAGCTTTGACAGGTATTTGTAATAGGGATGCAGAACATGATCGAACTCCAAGAAACCAAACTAGAAAAAAAACTCAGGCTCTGAAGCAATAACCTATCAAATTCAAGCTAATGTAGCACCAAAGTTTGCTCATACCTGTTCGGTATTATTTCTCTGTTTGGCTTTAATCACAATTTCCATTTGCGGTCCCTTTGTGACCACGAATAGTGCCGTCCTCTCAATAATGTGATTTTGTTTTTGATTATCGGGCTAAAGAACCAAGAACTAGCGCTTGATCCTCTCAAGGGAAAAAAAGACTCACCAAAGCCAGTCCCAGTGGTAACTTTATACCAGGAGGAGGTTCGAAAGGCTCGGATTCGCTATCGCTATCATCACCTCCCGCATCCTTGGCATCACCATTACGACCAAGATCAGTTGTACCGTAATTAAAACCAATTTCAGCTCTTTTTGGCCTCTCCTCCTCTTCCTCTG